TGCTGGCTGGGGAATTCTGGGAGTTGAAGTCCACTCATCTTAAAGTGGCCAAGTTTGGACAACACTGACTTAGACTATAACTATGAAGAAACCAATGCCAATATCAGTATATCAAGTTGAAGGGGCTCAGTGTCAAGTTCAGCAGAGCGCTTTTCTGTTCATATGCATGCACTCAAATCATGGTGAACCAGCCATGACCTTTAGTGGGAGATCTAGCCAGGAATTACTCCGCTCTACTCCTTTAGCCAGCCCAGGCAGAAAAGGAGAAGAAGGAAGGCTCTATGAACTGCGTTCTGCATACCTTCAAACTTTAGACATTTTCATCTATATCCAATATTGAGAAATGAGAATCTATAGCTAATTTCAAGTATATTCATATTGCCCTTTTACACATATGTCTCTAGAGGCATTTAAAATTTTTGGAAGTGAGGTTTTCCCAAAAGAAAGCAATCAATATTTTGTAAGAGGTTTCTGTAGCTCTAGTTCTATTTAAATTTACAGTTCTGGCAAGGAAAGAGTTTTAGATGACCGACTGAAGTGGGTGTGGAATAGGCCATGTATTTTAATCATTAGAAGGCATGTGAGTATAACTGGGGACCATTGTTTAAAAATGATTAATCCTGATAAAGAGCTGGAAGCATTCTTAGTTTTGATATTTTTTTTAAAACTGTGTTTTTAAACCACTAGAAACAACCCCAACATTAGCTCAGCGACACGTAGGACTAATTGCTACAGCACAACGGATGTACAGATTTGTTGCCATCACAAGTTGCCTCCTCTGATTTGTTTATAAAGAAACTGTCTTCTTTTCTAGGCAGTTCCAGGAAAACTCTATCAATCAATCCTTCAAAGAAACTATAATAAAAACTCTTCTTTGAAACCTGTTTAAAACTCTTATCTAATTACTACCACTTTTCTTTAAGCCTTTTGGTAACATTTGAAATAATGTTCCACAGGTAATCAAGAACAATGAAATTTCACTTCTTTTTTTTTTTCATTTTGGGTGATGGCATATAGTACAAATACTAGTAAGTGGCTGATCGGCAGTGATGGACTGGCAGAAGCCAAACTATCTTGTATCAAGTCCTAGTAACTCCTTGAAATAAACCTAAAATATTTACTTCTCTATACAGTGGTACCTCGGTTCACAAACGCTTCTGTTCATGAACAGTTTGGTTCACGAACAGCACTGTTCGCAAAATTTTGCTTCTGTTCGCGAACTCCCACATCGGGTGACGAACACGACCCACGGCCATTTTCCCTGCTGTGACACGTGGTCGTGGCTTCCTGTAGGGAGGGGGACTCTCCCTCCAAAC